TAATGATGATAGATATGATTTTTTCCCGCCAAAAACAAAGCGCATTAGGAACTATATTTATCAATTAATATAAATTATGAGTGATACCTTTATGGAAAATTTTTATCGCTCCTATTGGATACCTTTTTTCTGTTAATTTATTCTAATGTAAATGTCACAGAACAATTTGTATTCGCCTACTTCTTTTCTTATATTTTTTGTAATGTAGCGCACATAAAATCTTGATAATGATATTCTTTGAAATAGAAACTAATATAACAAGTAATTCATCGCCTCTGGAGGACTTGCTTTTACGTAATTCATTTTATTTTACATTAGCAGATGTAACATGCTTTGCAATGAAATTGTATCCATTATTTTACCCACACGTATGGCGAATCATGTTCCAAGGACTAAAAAAAACACATGAAGGATGATTATTTTTTGAAAAATAAATACTTTAATTTAAGTTTTACTAAATGACATTTTTTTTCCATATGCTTTCCTCGTTTGAACACACTTTGCACTGCTCGTAACATTGCATGTTAAAAAGCGGGGGTCACATCTTTGAAACAAGAGCAAAGTCATTTAAACTTATCTTAAGTTGATGTTTTTCAATGTCTTCAATTTAATCTTTTGTGATATATGTTTAATTTTTCTATGAAACGGATAAAAACTGGCCGGAAATAAAAGTTTGCTATTAATGACGACGAATACTTTTATTTACTATCAAGCAAGAGCAATTTGTATCAGATGATTTAGCATATCTATTTTATATCTAGATGAAGACTTATTCACATAAATGTATAAAACTTTTTATATGAAACTGTCATGTATGAAAATGTCTCTTTATCTTCTTTATTTTATTTGACTGTTTCCTATGTGTGTATTGTGCGTGTTTTAGTTAATCTATTGGCAAAGGGTGCAATAAAATGCATTCCATTTATAGTTTGATGTGTTATAACCAATTGTTCTACATTAATCCATGGCACAAAGTATCTTGTAGAGTTGTAAACGAGGTAATTGTATATTCGTAACTAATTAACTTTATTTTTGGTGTTGTAGCAATAAGTGCAAATGTAACAATACATGTTCGCAAGTGAAATGTATATGATTTTATTTAATGTATCGTTTCTATAATTCATTTAACATTTATTTAATGTGTTTTATCTATACTGGTTTCTGCCGCATAACTATAAATTTTATGAGGCCGGATATTTTCAAAGGCTGCTTTTCCTGAATGTTGCTCTCCCTTGATGGTTTTAAATACATATTTCATTTAATTGTTTATATAAAAACATGCAGATTTTACGCAATCAAATCTTCAGGGGGGAGTGTATATATTCTAAAATGGTTATTCATTTGGGACATATGACACTTAATTAAAGCTAAATATAGTTCAGCTTTATTAAAGTTTTATTACAAAATTTTACTGTAAAGATTTTTAATTAAAAGTGACTGCCACGTCAGTTACGTTATAATTCGACAACAAATTCTAGATGCACCATTTATTCAATCATGTACGCAATCGTATCTTCTAAGGAGTATTGAAATAAATATAAGATACTTGCTATCTATTTTCTGTCATTCATTGATAACCAATTTAATTTCTCATGAAAGATAGTTATAATTATACTTAATTCTTGAAATCTAAAGAAACTGAAAACACATTATACACGAAAATTTGATGACAGAGTTTAGTTAAAATTCTAACTTATGCATGATAGAAAATGCATGCCATGTAATAAAGACATGAGAAAAAAGTGTTGTTTTTTTGTTGTTGTTGTTTTGTCATATGTTTTAATGATAAAACAGCACATTTTAATGATGGATAATTATAATACCTAGTTAAGTTCGTACATAACAAAGTTGAATAAACGGTAAAGACATATATGAGGGTGTGGCTGTTTGTATAGCTTTCTTTAAAAATAAAGAAGTAAATATTGTTAAATGTATTCTTATTTATTATTATATTTTTTGTGTTGTTGGTGGTGGTGATTTCCTTTTTGTTACAAAGCATTTTTGTCATAGTGCTCATAGTGCTTTGATTTGTTCTCAGACTGGTACATTCATGTTTGCTATTAAACCTTGTAAACTCACCTTGTTATAAACGTAAAAAACAGAATGTATTCATTTTATCACTGTTAACCTTTTAAAAAAAATCTGGATACAAAGTTATCCCTCGGAAGCATTGATCACAACACAATTACATGAAAAATGCAGACTCGGTTCGATTGAGTCTGTAAAGCCGAAACGATCAATTCAATTTTGTACATGATCTTGAGGTGGAAAACGTTGAAAATGTCAGTTACAAAAATAGTTATTTTTTAATTTCATAAAATCATTGTTTTAGATAAAGACAATGGGTCAGTCAATCATAAATCATATCACAGTTTTCAAAGAAGGAAAATACTTAGAATAATCAATCACTGTGTTACATGAAAATGTAAAATTAAAAAAAGACAAAGCTTGCTTCATTATTTCAAACATCAATAAAAAAATATTTTTTATTGTAAAAATCAACTTTACAATAATTTGAGATTTATGAGAAGAAAAAAAAGTTAGATTATGGAATTTCAAAAGCAAATATTGTCATGAATTTAAATCAAATTATATCATTCAATTAATAAAATATCAGCAAACGTAATGCATAGGAGATATTGTATCTAAAGCTTTTACATTAATTATCCAGAGGAAAACCTTGAGTTAAACAAATGTAAAAAAAACATACGAGGGTGTGCGACTCGGGATATTATTTCTGCTTTATTTAGAATGCATTGCAAAGTATTTACGTTTATGAATGGCATTCACAGTAGTTGTAGGCGGAAAGTATGATGTAGAAACAAATTATTTTCGCTATTATCTCTGCAAGGATACATTTGAAGCTTTAAAAAGAATTACAAGTAAAATAGTTTCCTGCGGGGAACATTTTTAATGATATAAAGATATTTCATTGAACTATTTTCAACATTGTTTGTGTGTGGGGGGGGGATAAATAAACGTTTGTATCAGGAATATAATTGACAATACGAAGGTCTTTGGAAACTGGTGATCGTTGAAGACCGGAGAAGGTCGAACATAAAACAATTATTTCTTTTTAAGAAAATGATTAAATAGGCCTACCATTTAATGATTTTATGAATAATTCCGAGCAAACAAAGAATAAAGTAAACACACAAGTTTACGCAGAAAATATCGCTATTTATTATGGTAGATGCCATTGCGAATATTTCAATTTTGTAGATTTTCAGTATAAACAATTTATTGTTTGTAAAATTTGAGATAGATTTTAAAGAAACATACTACATTGATAATTTTCAAACAAATCATTCAAGTTTTTCCACGTGAAACGGTAAAATAATTATAGAAAATTAGAAATATCACGTAATAGTTTTTTGTTCTTAATTAGGTCAGGGTCTTTGAAAGACCCTGATTAGGTGTAATTCGGACTAATTCCCTTGAGGTAAATCCGTAACGTACCGGCAAACGGTATTTACCTAGGTTTTCGAAAAGGTCAATTAACCAATCATGTACGGTTTACAGATCACATGACCCTCCATGTACCGAAAACAGGTCACGTGCTCCTCCATGCCTCAAAAGTTAAACGCGTACCAATACCCTGCGGTCTCCAGACCGCAGGGAATAACGCATTAACGGGAAGACTTGCCTAGGAACTTTCCTAGTTTTACTATCAAAGCAGCACTTTTATAACAATTAGAACAGTGTGTATACTCACTACAGATATGTTTTCTTTCATTCAGTGCTAGTAGGCGGTATATGTTGATGTGGCAGTCATTTAAATATTCGATAATCCCTTTTCAATGTTAAGATGAATTGTTTTATCAGTATTTAAAATAAATACAAGAAACGTTTATTCTGATGCTGACATTTTCAAAAACATTTATCATTAATAAATTTGTGTCTTTTTGCATATTCTGCATTATACTTTATTGTAGGGATTGTTATTTTAAACATAAGTTAGGAAAAAGGAGTTTTTACTTGTAACAAAACATTAAGTAAAGAAGTATACTTCTATCAAAATCAAACTGCAAAAAGCTGATCGCTTCAAAATTGAAACATTTTTCTTGACTATAACGCCTATTTCCAAAGAACCTAACTTGATCCTATTTCGAGCTAAATACTTTGACTTATTATTTATTGTCATTCTAACATTTACAAAATACGATATCATTTTTACAAGTATTAACAAAACCTGTTTGTTAAGCACCAAAGCCCAAGGCCCTGATACATATCAATAAAATTTTCTTTCAAAGCAAAGGTTAACCCATTCACTCAGTTATGGACAGAATAATTGCCAAGCAAATAGCAAACACTGTAAGGTAGCTCAATAATATCAGAACTTATCAGGTAGATCTACCCTTAGTTTATGATGTTCAATAAACATAATATATTTTATTATTGGTTCAATTAATGTAATGATGCGTAGATGTAGGTGTTAGAAATTGAGTTCACTTACCGAAACACGACAGGTTTTTTTTTAGAAACTCATACATCTAAAAGGGTTTCATTTTTCTAGATAAATAACCTTACAAAAATGTTTATGTCATTGTTATACAAGCTATGCTATCATTTCTTTATGATTTTGCATGAAAAACTAAGAACCAACATATGCAAGTTAACTTGTTTAACTAAGGCCAAGTATCTTTTTTTAAAGATATCTCTTATATAAAAGTTGTTCGATTTCCTTTTTTCGTATGATCTAGATGAGCGGACGCGCAGTGTTATTTACCTTTAATTGGCATATGATTTAAAAGTGGGTGAATGTTCACAAATACACGTACAAAAAAGGCTTTGTTCGGTTAAAGGTAATGAAATAATATTAGTTTAAATTTTTGGCGATTTCTTTATTTGCACACAAAAACTTATAATCTATTTCTGATGACAAAAACTTTTGAATTGCCTTTATCCATTTAATACACATAAAATGTGAATATATTATGCATGAATAAATTTTCAAAGCTGTTTAATTCAATTTGAGTTAAAGCAAGCATGCAATTGCGACTCGCCCCTGCTTTAGAATAATTATGTTAAACAGTTGTTGAGGTTATCAGGAATTCAGCAGAAATACGCTAAGGGAAAACGGTGTTAAATCGCAAAAATAAGCAAATATGTTGAAATTGCTGGCAGTTTGTTTATTTGCCTCTGTGATTGCTAACTGGAATAAGAATCAAGGTATTTGTTTTTACATCTAGTTGTTTTGAATGACAACGTCATTACATATATTTTAACATTTATCTAAATCGTTAAGTTAAAGTTTATGAACAAGAAAGGGACAGTTTCTGATAAAATCGAAGGGTTTTGTTGTAAATTCAATTTTATTGAAATTCATTGAATTATTATTGTTAACAATACAAATTAATAAGAAACATTAAATGAGCATCTTTGTCAAAACTCTGTGAAGATCCTAATATTTATTATAGCATAGAAATATAAAGTATTTATTTTTAAACTTGTTTGAAATACATTACAAGCGCTATAGACATCTACATATTACAGATGCTTAATAATGGGTATTTGCGAGTGAAAAAAAATCTATATATATATCATTTATCAAACTGTTGAATGAGTACATATTGAATTCCCTCTAGCAATATGAGCCTCGCGAAACTCATTATTAAACACATTGGGTAGATATTGGCTTATGTCAACTTCATCTTTAATATTTTTTTTGTTTTACTTCTTAGTTTGTCAATGAATTTTTCTGATCACGGTGTTTCCATTTTATAATGTAAAGGTGCATAATCTTCGGAATAATTTGTGTACAAAATCGATGTAGTTTTTTTTGCTTCATTCTAAGCTTAGTTTATATTTGACATTGGTTTAACGCGTTATTAAGTTTTGGGATCATAATCAGTCTATAAGTATCCCAAAACTTAAGGCGGATTATACCGAATTTACTTTTTACAGACTGAAATTATTCCACCTAAGTTATTCTATGATGTATATATGACGATATTTAAGCACACTATAGGTTTGACAGTTCTTGTTATTGAAATATCATTCACGTCTTTGAATTTTATCAGTACAAGCAAACGAAGAATTGTCTGCCAAAGAAAGTCGCCTTCTGAAGTTGTTAGAGGGAGAATTAGAAGAGGTACAGTAAATGGAAGCCATGTTTTTCACCAAGTTTTTCACCAAGTGAATAGAGCATTGCAATTGTCCTGTATTGTTCTTCGAAAAGTAGTTATATGTAAACTCGTACTAGTATATTCAAAGCTATAAACTGTTGTTTGATATAAGTAGAACAGAGTTATATCCCATCACATACCTTGACAGTTGCAATTGATATAAAGAGTTTCTTACAAAGAACATGAATCCCGTGCATATTTACAAAAAATAGAATGCAGAGCTTGATACGTTAAAATTTTGGAATTCCATACAGAGTTTGGAACATAGTTTAGTGTAATAGCTGTGCCCAATTTTATAAATTCTATAATAAAGAACGTGGTTTTCTAGCAAATATGTTGATTCTATTTTAATATTATCAAATAAAACGCATCAACATAATAAGCAAAATAAATAACAATGATGTACATAGTTCTATATATAGAATGTAGTTCCATTGTAATTTAGTGTTAATAATAAATGACCTAGCACATATGAAGAGAGATTTTGAAAGGTTCTCATCTCAAAAATACAGATACGTTACTATGCAATTCACTTTTTAAAAAGATCTTGTTCACATTAAGCTGAAGTATATTCATTTGTATTCAGATCAAGAGGGGTTTTGATCGATGCGTTTCGGATACATGTGATGATGATTGTCGGGCTGAATGCTGCCTTGATAGTTGCAATGACATTACCTGTTTTCGTGCATGCTTCTATGATGATGGATATGCGGTATTCTTTTATAATATAAGATTAAACAAGAGTATATATAATACTGTTCAAACTAACATATTCTGGTGAATAGTTGCATATGTATGGTTTCCAATAAGCGTGACTGATTGATTTTACGTCTCCGAAAATTAGTAACATCACTAAATGACTTTGTATATAATAAGTTATAATAATGCTCTGTTTCATATTTCTTTCTTTTGAGACCAATTTTTCGACTAAAAACAATGTTCGTCGTTTCAAATTAATTATTTCGTATTTTCAAACTCAATGACACAATTTTTTTTCAATCATGAGAAAAAGTATCCTCAGTTAGTGTAATTCTGACTGTAAGTCGGTGTAACATTATCTGCGTCCTTGGTGATGCAGCCGCGTGTATTTCTTTGTATACTAATATTTTAATCTGAATGAATATTTTATTCTTTCAGATGCCAGTTGAAGATATCAGAGTATCAAAGTATGTGTTATTTTATTAACTTGTGATATCAAACAGTATTTAAACTAATAAAAAAACCGCGGCTCGGATGTGTAATAAAGCCATTTAATAAAAAGATATTACACTAGTGTAATAACACTTTGACGAGAAGTCATTTGCGTGATACATAAACATAGCGTTAAAGTGCGTTAATGTTAAAGTTACACTTTATCTAGGCGCGTCAATGAAAATGACTCTTTTTGCACAGTTTACCGTTCTTATTTATATTATTTCATAAAAAGAATATCATATTCGTGTAGATTCAATACTGAATGTATTGAACTCGTTGAATAAAACAATATTATGCTCGCCAGAGGCTCGCATAATATGATTTTATTCGACTCATTTATCAATAAGTATTTTAGCTTTTTGACCTTGTAACAGGTACCAAACGAGTTCTTTAAGAACATTATCTTTTTATATGCCCGTGTATTTATTTAGGGCAGAACGGTTTATCTATCATATAATAAAGGAGCTGCTTAATTTCTGAACAACGAAACATACTTTTATACATTAATCAATAATGTTTTGTTTTCTTTTTTACATGTACCAGTAGTAAAGCTGCCAGAAAGATACGATGGTTTGAAAAACGAGGCTAAGAGAATGTAGTGCATAAGCTGAGGAGGGATAAAGAACATTTTGCCTGACTGCTTGTAAACCATATTATTTTCTTTGCTTTAACACTCGCAGTTATACGACAGTTAAACAGTGCGTATCTATATAGATACGCAAAGTATGATTTCAATTGTTTTATTTGTACAATTTGTACCAGCAGTTATATCTTCGTTATTTAACTTATTAAATGTCAATTTCTATATACCGTTTTGTTTCAGATTTTGTATAATTAATTTTTCTATTTCTTTTGCAACATTCCCCTTAACATATTTCGTTTTTTACTCTTATTTCTATTGACCGATTTTTTAATTATAACATGACATAATTATTATAAACATGTATAACTATTACGGTAAATAAGGGGGGTTTTGATAAAAAAATACTTCATTTTATTCTATTTTTCATTTTAAAGCTTGCAGAATGTTGTTTTTTAGGAAAAGTAATTTTTCTGTTTTTATTAAGTAGCCTTTTGGTTTTTTATGAAGCAGCCTTTTGATTTAGCCATAGGCATCACTTTTTCCAGATTTTTAGTTTTTTCGTTGGACTGCATTATAGATTTACTGATTGCATGATATATAAATCAGTACTTTATTTAAAGCAGGCTATTTACTTTGTTTCTCCTGCTTCTGTAACAACTATTTTTTCTTATTATTTAGATACATTGTAATATAATAAATGCTTTTGAAATTGCCTCGCAACTGTTCTTCAACAAATGAAATGCATGTAAATATGCACGCACTGTAATTGATAATCATGTAAAGATAGTGTACAATATTTATAAGTTTTTTTTCCTTAAAATCCCAAATATCGCTGTCGAAATAAGTCCCTTTGAAACAAAATCTGCCATTATTTTGTTGTTGTTGTTTGGGTTTAACGTCGCACTAACACAGTATAGGTCCTGTGGAGACTTTCGAGCTTTTCTGGTGAAGGAAGACCCCAGGTGCCCGTCTGTACATTAATTCAGTCATAAGCGGTCCCTAATTGGTACAACCGACATTCTGTAAGCTCGCTCAATAGCTTTCTTACATGTAGAATCCTAAGACACTGGCGCGGCTCGAACCTAAAGATGTGAGAGTTAAGTGGTTTGATGTCAATGACTGTAAACATTCGGCCATAAACGCTTCGAGATTGCAAAAGATACAAACAGTGTTTTGTTATCATTTCATTGCAAACTCCTTGCTATAACATATCTAAAATGCATTTTCTCTTCAACCAGTCACGTAATAATACGAGATTTGCAACAAATGTACTAGACTTGAGTAACGATACAATTGAACAGATCTGTTCAACTTGTTTATTTATTTCATAGAGGTAACCACAGAGCAGTAACAATTAGCAAAATTACATATTAATCGTTATATAGAAAACTTAGATTCATAAGAATGATTTATCACTATCAACGCACCAGCGCCACACCCTTATTATATGATAAATTGTGGATATGTCTTTGTTTCTATGGAATATTTAATTTTATTTTAATCAGTGAAGCTCGAAAATTGTATTCCCACGAGTTAGATTGTTGAATTCTAATTTCATCTTTCACATATTAAAACGATCAGTTTTTACTTATGCTGAATTGCAGTTTTAAATCGCGTTTGTCTGATCAACCAAGCATTTTAAAACTTGTTTGCCTAGTTAGAGTCTGAAAGCTTAAATTTGCATTTCAATACACTAAATATATAGCTATTAATTATATAAAACGAACATGTGTCGATTGAGGATGCTACTATTAAGTTTAAAAGAAAGTTAAGATTAGAAATGAATAAATGCAAAAAGCAATAAATTTCAAAAGGTCAACAAATAATGTTATTGCAACGTCTGCCGCGGAGTAATTTTTGGCATACGTAATCTTCATTCAGATACATTTTTCCGCCATTTTTAAAAGCAAATCGATGCGATGAAGGTTATTTTATGTAATTGTTTGTATTATTCTTGTTTTAGTAATTTCAAAATAAGTATACAGCTTGTTTATTTATATATCATTAATTTAAGTTTGGTTGTTAAGGAAACAATAAGCTTATAGAGACACACTTTTCAATCCATTGCTGGAACCAACTAGTAAGGAGAGTAAAGTTTTTTTTGTTTATTTTTATTTTTTGCTCAAGAAAACAACTGCTTGCCTCTTGCGGAGTTGAGCAACTATAGGTTCACTAGATAAATTGACCATGCAACACGCATGAACATTTTCTACTTACACGAGCACTGCTGGGCGGTATTTAATTGTGATGGAAACAAAGTGCGTGTTTTGCGCGTTAAAAACGTGTCCGTCTTAATTTCTCCCGGTTTGAATGATGTCGAGCGCTGCCGTGACGAAACATATCAGATAGGGCAATAATAAAATTATAGTTAAATGATTGAAAGCACATTATAGATATCAAAGTTTATTGTATCGTGTTATAATTTGAGATTGTACGCACATTTATGTATTACAAAAGTATATAGAAAATTAAAGATGCAGGATTAATGTTTATCACAACCATACATCAAATCTGATGACATGACATATTTTGTGCTAAATTCAATATAAGCTTTATATAAGTGAACACCTTACACACTGTACCAGCATTTCATTAAACGTCACGTAATATGAATTTTTCATTTTGATATAAAATAAATCATGCATTTTAAAATGAATCAACTAAAAAGTAATACTATATGAAAACATTATATTTAGAAAATAACGGAAATAAATTAACGTGACTGAATTACACTTATCAATCTAAATATCTTAATAAGACCTGTCCCTCTTTTCAAACCATTTTTCATCCTAAGATCAAACTATGTAATGACTGGACAGCAAACAGTCAGACCATGAACAAATGGCATGGATGTTATGGCTAGTCTTGTTTTTTACTCGTTGCGTAGGTAGATGTGTTGACGCAAAGTTCTTAAATGTTAATCAGGCTATAAAAAGGACTTGTGTAAAATGTAATTGTAAATTAACTCGTGTCCAACAGCAGCCAACATGTGGCGAACGGACAAAATAAAACTACCCCTGAAAAGGAATGGAAATGAAATAAATACGGAATATTATGTTGTAGTAGCTTTCCGAGGCCTTGTATTTTGCTACTCGCAGCGTAGTAAAATTGATATCTCGCGAGACCGAAGGTCGAGCGAGATATCAATTTTACTACGCTGCGAGTAGCAAATACAAGGGCATCGGAAAGCTACTACAACATAATTTTCCTTTTATTATATACCTATAAATTTTTAAAACAAAAAGAAATCAATTTTATAACTTTTATCATTTATTTCACAATGAGAAACATATAGATATGGAGAAATAACATTTATGAACGGCGGATGAATATATCAGTTTTTTTCAAAAGAGGCCACGCCTCCAACACAGTTTTCTAGGAAATAGACATCATATGGCCGATCCATGTCGTGTCACAATACGCCGTCACAATATCAACAAACGTTTAAAAAGATAACAGTTTTTAAAAAGCTAGAAATGCAACATTTGATTTGGATTGTTCCGCTTAGTGTACATGAATTATTCACTGTCACTGTCAGATTCAATTACCGGACAAATCCTTCTCCGGCGTTTGGGACTTGGTGAAATGTCATCAGTTTTCACGGTTTTGTTAATAATTGTTATTGGACAATTCATTAGTCTTGCATTCTGAAGAATTTGACCAGTATTGGTTGAAACTAATTCAATTCCCGACATTGTACGGACATTTGATAAAAAACTTGCGTTAAATGGTGATTGTACAGGTGCTAAAATTTGACGAGGCGGACCAGTGGAATTGGTAAGTGATTGTTTACTTTGAGTTTGACACATCTGAATTGCATTTTTAAGCTTGGGAGGATTTGGGTTATGGGACAATATATCAGACATGTGTTCTTGCATTTCACATGATGCCTTGGCATAATTGTTTTACACTTTGAACATTTCTATGGGCACTTAACTGTTGTATTGTAGTTGGTGCAATTCCACTATGTAATAGATCAGTGCAAGTAGTTTTTCTTGCACTGTGATTTGTTTTTTTGCCTTGCAAACCACACTCAATAGCCATGGTTTTCATTAACGTATTGAGCGTGTGCTCACCAAGAGGCTGAGATTTATACCATTTATCTGAACCGGAAGTCGTTTATAGTTAATACCTAAATAAAATGGCGACTCGGGCTGACACATTTCTGTTGGCCTGTGTTGTGCAAATACTTTGTAAGCATATACAGGGCAAGTTTCTAGAGTATCATGTGCAAATTGTTTTGGACTAAAATGGCGTACTTCAGTTGTTTTCTCAGCAGTACGTGTTTTTGTTAACCTTTCATTATATTCAATGTATTCCCTGCCATGATCATTTGTTTTAATTTTAATATCCCCCCACCTAAGTTGTCTATTTTCATTTCCCCCTCGAAGCCCAAACAGAACAGTTTTATTTAACCATATTAAATTCAAAAGTTTTTTTTGGAGAGTCAGTCCCTGTCAGTCCCTTTTCCCGCAACATTTGTCTCTCATTAACCGTCAGGGGCTCTGCAGCATTTGGACGATTACCCTTTCCCTTGCCTTTGAGTTCCTTTCGTTTTTGAAGCTAAAACTTGTCGCGATGTTGCAAATTCCTTGTCAGTTATGATGCTGTGAGGATATTTATTTTCCCTGAGGCACCTAAAAGTAAATAAAAAAATATGTGTTCAAAATTGGAATGAATTTATTTAATTGCTTTGAAGTTTTGCACAATTAAAAAGTCACATAAATTGTAATCTTTTGGATTTATGCATAATGCTACATGTAGATTTATATAAATGCAAAAAAGGGTAGAATTCCTAGAATGGACTCAAAATTAATAATTTTTATTACCAAAATTCGAATTTCATTTTTGAATATAAGAAAAAATTATTTAGTATACCATCTAAAAATAGTACAATACATAATGATAAGGTGGATTTAAAGTTTGAAAAAAAATCATGACATACAATTTGAAGAAATGACAAATTGTGCAAAATGTTATGTCATAATATTGATTTATTATATCTTACATACAGTATGCTTTAAAATTTAACAGTGTCAGAAATAATCAAAATACAATTTAACAAATTTCAAAGTAGCCAAATGCAAATATAAAAACAGTATCTTAATGGAATTGCAGTTTGGCCAGAAATACATTCCTTTGTAATACAAGTAAATGCCTTTTTAATAGAGATCTAGTAGTAAAATATTCATGATTAAACTGGAAGCAATATTTAAGTCAAAATGTACAATTTTCATGAATTTTTTTAAATATTGTGAAGTGTAAAGACAGCAAAT